TCTCTCTCTCTTCCTTTGTACATTTATCTATCTTTCTATCTCTCTGCAGGTTGTGGTAAAGAGTTTAAGATGAAGGTGCAGCTTGCGCGTCACTGCGCGAGCATCCACGGCCTCGCCCTGCGCTCCGGATCGCCGCGTCCCATCGTGAAGACGCGCGCGGCGTTCTGCCTGCAGACGACGCTGCTCACGCGGCTCGCACGCCGGCTCTGCGCCGAGCTGCTGCGACCGCGACACTCAGCACGCGTGCCGTTCGAGGCGATCAACGCGGCGGCGATCAAGGCAGAGTGTCAGCACCGGCTACCCGAAGCAAGGAAGACTCTAGGTGAGGAGGGAGGGGAGGGGAGGGGAGAGAGGGCAGGGGGAGGGAGGAAGGGGAGAGGAGGGGAGGGAGAAGGCGAGGAAGGCTCTAGGTGAGGAGGGAGGGGAGGGGAGAGGAGGGGAGGAAGGTGAGGGAGAGGAGGGGAGGGAGGAGGCGAGGAAGGCTCTAGGTGAGGAGGGAGGGGAGGGGAGGGGAGGGGGAGGAAGGCTCTAGGTGAGGAGGGAGGGGAGGGGAGAGGAGGGGGAGGAAGGTGAGGGAGAGGAGGGGAGGGAGGAGGCAAGGAAGGCTCTAGGTGAGGAGAGAGGGGAGGGGAGGGGAGGGGGGAGGGCATGGAGACTAGATGAGGAGAGGGAGAGGCGAGGAAGGGGAGGGAGAGGGTGGGTGGTATTGAGAGGGAGGAGGGTAAACAGGGTTGGTGGGGGGCCAGTTACGCAAGAAATGGCGGCGGTAATCAAAACAAGTAATCAAAAATCGAGCACGGAGGCTCTAAGACATGTTAGCGTTACTCTAGACAGTTGCTGTTGCTCCAGCGATTAACGGCGAGTGTCGTAAACGCGGGAAAACACGAGACCGGTTGGAAATTGTGTTCTCAATGCTTATGTTGTCTCAACGTCTCGTCCTGTAGGTAAGAACGCGCCGAAGCAACGAGACGGTGTGGAGAAGGTGGTCTCACGTCTCGGCATCGACCTCGCGACCAGCAAGCCGGACTGTCTCAGCCGCGAGCAGAGGGAGCCACAGGACGCGGCGGCGGCGGGCGGAGGTGGCGGCGACCCGGGGGAGGCGGCGGCGGCGAAGCCTGCAGCAGCTGTCACGTCACACGAGGCGCGCATATCACGTAAGATCTATCGCACTAATCATCATCCTCCGCCTGAATCATAGTTACAGAGACTCCCCGACTTACGAACAGGTTCGGTTCCGAGCGGTCGTACGTAAGTCGAACATATGTACGTATACAGTATTGTACAGTAGTGTAGTATATGTACGTGTGAACATCGAGTAACCTAGAAGTGTACATAGTGTAAACATATACGTTAACACAGGAGTTGGCAAAAGTCTTTTTATTCACCAATATTGACATTATACACTTGGACTTCATGGCAAATTGTTCGTATCATCGAAAGTTCGTAAGTCGGGGAGTCTCTGTATATATTATAATAATTATTATTATTATAGTTTTGAGAGTCGGCAGTTCACTTGTTCCCAGTTTTGTTGCTATCGCGTTAGATCTGTCACCCGCCATTAGTGTCGATCGTCTGCTGTTCACTTGTATTGAGTTTCGCGGATATCGCGTAAGATCTCTGCCGTCGTCCCTACTCCGATTTTTTTTCATTCCTTCCAGTTTTGTTTTTGCGAGGAACGTTTTACTCGAACTGTCGATGCAACGACGGATTTTACGTGGAGGGAGCGTTTGTTTCGAGCGCTGTCGCCATAGAGTGTTCTATTGTTTTAGAGTCGATCGTTTCGAGCGATAGAGTCGTGCGTTCTATTGTTCTGAGTTTCATTGTACATGCACTTGTTTCAAGCGATGCAGCCAGCTGTTCGCTTGTTTCGACGTCGCGACGTTGATCGTTCGGTTGTTTATCGTCCGCGTTTTCTGCGTTCCCGGCAGAGCGTAAGAGCCAGCATCCTGCGAGATCCGTCGCGGACCCGCTGCAGCGCATGTCCGAGATGGTTCCCGGTGCGTCCATCGGCAACCAGGCACCGTCGATGCTGCGCAAGAGAGGATACGAGGAAGGAGGAGGCGACTACATGGGAGGAACCAGACTGAAAGGTGACGCGGCGGGGGGGCGGTTTTTTTATTCTCGTTCGCGCTTTTTTGTCTTGTTCGCGCGTGTTTTCGAACGGCTGCGACGAAAACCTGCGGCGAGGAAATCTTGCCCTCGGAAGTTTCGTCTAGGCGCGACGCGTGTGCCTGGGGGGGGGGGGGGGGGTCTAGTCGTCGGGAGTGGACCAGCAAACAACTTCCCGTTTCGACTTTGCCGGGTTAAGAGCTTCGGTCGAATGTCGACTGTAACGTGTTGTAAACATCATAATGTAGTTACAGCACACAATCTATTATCCGAAATTCTGAAAACCTAAACGCTCCGAAAACCGAAAGTTTTTTTCGTGGAGGTCGTCTGCACACCAAAATTCTGCTATACTAATTAGTTCGTTCCGGAGCACGGCCTCGCGGAATTACTGTATTTGTTAAGCTGATGTTCAAAGAAAATTTGGCAGAATCTTAAAAATAAGCCCATGCGTAATTATTGTTAATATCCTTCATTTTGAACCTCAGAATGCGGACTCCTTTTTTTGAGGGTAGGGACCGTTGGACTCCTTTGTTCAAAAGTTAATTTCTACCCCTGTTATATGTAGTTGTAAAATAGTATTATAATTGTAACGTGTTCTTTCTCCGTCTGTCTCGCGCAGCCCCGCCGGCAAAGCGACCAATAATTACTCCGAGTCCCCACACGAGGGCGGTGCTGCAGCGTCCGGGCGCCGCGTACGGAGCCCAGCGCATGCAGGCGCTCATGGGACAGGAGTTCGCGAAGGGACGCATGACGATGTCGCGACACGGACCGAAGCGCCATCTGCTGAGCTGGGTCGAAGCTCCAGACGACGTTTACTTCCACGCCACCGACGCAACACGGTAAGCCACCGACGCAACACGGTAACGTGATATGCCGTTGCATATTATCGGTGTGCGATTCGTAACCAACCACCACGCGTGTCTCGTGTCGAGTGTCTCGTGTCTCGTGTCTCGTGTTGCGCGGCGATTCTAATCCGTTGTCGTCTCCATGGTCGTCATGCCAGCGGAGTCGTGTGTCTCCATCTGTCTCGATGATCTGTCTCCCTCTGCCTCAATGATCTGTCCCCCTCTTCTCAACGGTCTGTCCCTCTCTGTCTCAACGATCTGTCCCCATTTGTCTCAACGATCTGTCTCCGTCTGTCTAAACGATCTGTCTTCCTGTCTCAACGATCTGTTTCTCTCTGTCTTCCTCTGTCTCAACGATCTGTCTCTCTCTGTCTCAACGATCTGTCTCCGTCTGTCTCAACGATCTGTCTTCCTCTGTCTCAACGATCTGTCTTCCTCTGTCTCAACGATCTGTCTCCGTCTGTCTAAACGATCTGTCTCCGTCTGTCTCAACGATCTGTCCCCATTTGTCTCAACGATCTGTCTCGATCTGTCTCCATCTGTCTCATTGATCTGTCTCCATCTGTCTCCATCTGTCTCAACGATCTGTCTTTCTCTGTCTCCATCTGTCTCAATGATCTGTCTCCATCTGTCTCAACGATCTGTCTCCATCTGTCTCAACGATCTGTCTTCCTCTGTTTCAACGATCTGTCTCCATCTGTCTCAACGATCTGTCTCTCTCTGTCTCAACGATCTGTCTTCCTGTCTCATCGATCTGTCTCTCTCTGTCTCAACGATCTGTCTCCCTCTGACTCAACGATCTGTCTCCATCGAGTGAGAGCCGGCGCTGATGCATCTCCGTTCACGTTGCAGGAAGATCCGGCGACAGCTGACAACCTCCGACCTTCGTCGCGTCGCGCGGAAACCGTGGCGACGACTCAACGTGAAGACCCCTGGTGGCGGAGGTGGAGGCGGAGGCGGCGGCGGTGGGCGCCCTGAACAGGTCGTCGTCCTTGACTAGGGGGCGCCGGTGTTGCCGACAACGGAGCTACTCGATCCCCTCCGCGCGCACGCGATGTTCCGTTGTTTTGCAATTTTGCGCACGACATGGAGGTCGTGGATGGTGCGCCACCTATGAGCATTTAACAACACTAGTTGCGTCTATGTATTTTTCCAGTCATGGAGGGTACAGTCACGCACGTGCGCACGCGCAGCATAATCTAATTCGGCCCAGAGAATGCGCTGTAGTCGAGTTGTCACTGTAGTCCGTCGCGGAGGGAACGGGTGAGGGACTGGGGCGGAGACGTTCAAATGTATGATCCGATGTACAGGTCAACAAAGGTCAATGTCGCATGACGTCACGTCAGATGGCTCCCTCGCAGGCCGTCCCTGCCTGCGCGTCTGCAACCCGCGAGTTTGGAGTTTCGGAGCAGTCGGTGAATTGTTGATCTTGTCATATATACGGGCGTTACATCACACTACTCCTAGAAGATTGTTTGACGCCGTTTATTCTTGAGGTTCGGATTTGTCGATTTGGGATCTTGATGCAGTTACTATGATCTATATGCGTACTAAGTGTGAATTAATATGTAATAGCGTTCCTGCAATGTGCATATGTATGTATGTATGTGTCAGCGACTCATTGATTGATGAATTCATGTGTTTGGTGTTGAAAGAAAGCCTTTATCGTTGCTGTAATATCCACTATTGAGTAGGCATTCTTCAAAATGCTCGTACGGTTTCATGACGGTGTAATATTGTGTTAGGTGTTTAGAAGTTGCGTATACACTAGTTTTCAGGAAGTGAGGAAGCTCCACAGTGCATCTAAGATGTGTTTTGTCCTGTTACAAACTTGTCGTTGTAACTGTTTTGGAGGTAGCAGCTGATTTTTGTCGTCAAGAATACCCTGTATCGCTAAGATTTTATAAATAAATGCACATAACTGAAAACGTTAAATGGTTGCGTTGTTGCATTCATTACTCAGTGTAACCTCTATCGTAATAAATCTATAATATTATTCTAATTGAAAGTTATTGAAAATTCTAAAGTTATTCTAATTGAAAAGTGCTAGCTTAAAAAGTAACAAGTAACGACACCATGTTCAAGTAAAGTGTAACAACTAACATGTGTATATACATTTACTAAAACTGTTTACACTACTAAAGTCTTGTAGTGTTTCTCTACTCTCTTTCTCCTATTATTACCGATAACTTCCTTTGAATGCCGTTCAAATGCTCTTCTGCAACACACGAAAGAGAGGGAGCGAGAAGGCTTGGCAAAGACTGAGGGGACGGGAGTGAAAGGGGAAGAGGAAATAAAGGAGGGAGTGAGAGGGGAAGAGGAAAGAAAGAAGGGAGTGAGAGGGGAAGAGGAAATAAAGGAGGGAGTGAGAGGGGAAGAGGAAAGAAAGGAGGGAGTGAGAGGGGAAGAGGAAAGAAAGGAGGGAGTGAGAGGGGAAGAGGAAAGAAAGGAGGGAGTGAGAGGGGAAGAGGAAAGAAAGGAGGGAGGGAGGAATGCAGAGGGTGATGCGCACATGTAAGCGCAGTCACGCACATACTAATATACATAGGGCACACACACAGGCACGTACACAGACTCACACCCCTCTCGGGGATGGTATCGCCCATGACCAGTCAAGCATGAAAAAACATTTGCAGGAAATCGGCCGTATTTCGGCTCGAACTTTTTCACTCCCCGAGGCACAAAATGTGAATTTACACCTATGATACACGCGCACGCGCGCGTGCGACCACACGCGCGTGTGCGCATCCATTAGTGGGTGTGTATGTGTGTTTTTGTGACTGTAAAAACGCGTATTATAGCCGTAAATCCACTTTTAGTAGAATGACGAGTGAAAAAGTTTGAGCCGAAATACGGCGATTTTCTGGTCAAAGATTTTTAACGCTTGACTGGTCATGGGCGATACCATCCGTGAGAGGGGAGTAAGGAAGTAAGGAATAATACTCACTATTTTCTAAATGGCTATGTTGCAATTTGACGTTCTAGCGCCATCTAGTGTGATAATAATAATAAAATAATTATAAAGTGCACTTTATTCCTTACTTCCTTACTCCCCTCTCACGGATGGTATCGCCCATGATCAGTCAAGCGTTAAAAATCTTTGACGAGAAAATCGCCGTATTTCGGCTCAAACTTTTCACCCCGCCGAGGCACAAAATGTGAATTTACGCCTATAATACACGTGCATGCGCGCGTGCGACCACACCCGCGTGCGCGTACCCGGTCGCGCGTGTGTATGTGTGTTTTTGTGATTGTAAAAACGCGTATTATAGCCGTAAATCCACTTTTTGTGCTTCGGGGAGTGAAAATGTTCGAGCCGAAATGCAGCGAATTTCATGCACAAGTTTTTTAACGCTTGACTGGTTACAGGCGATACCATTCGCGAGAGGGGAGTAAGGAAGTGAGGCGAGAGAGAAGGCCGTCACATCTACGTTATTCCATATAAGCGCACTTTATAATTTTTTTTTACACTAGATGGCGCTAAGATTCAAAATTTAACAGCATCAGATCGCGTATATATCACATGTTATGATATAAGTAGTACTTTGATAGCATTTCCTAATTCCATTGGATGGTGGGCTCATTTACTGGAAGGAAAGACTGAGGGAGATGCGCACACACACAGGCACGGATGCACAGGAGAAACAGATTGAGATTAAGATTGAGTATAATTTATGTGAGAGATTACAGGATAAACATGAAGCTGTTAGTGCTGCTGCAGCAGCAGTAAACAACTCACATCTATATTAATGCTATTATAAATTATTTTAATGCTTTGTGAAAAGGATGGTGTCAAGCGCATATATATATATATATATATATATATATATATATAATCATTTTATATCGTGAGAGAGAGGAGGGAGAGTGGGAGAGTGAAAGAAAGAGAGCGAGAAGGGGGGGGGACAGACAGAAAGAGAGAGAAAGAGATGGATAACATAATTTACAAAGAACGCAGAAGGCAATAGTTGATATCAACAACGTTTCCAAACTGGGTTTTATTTTGCAAACAGCTATGTATGTATACAATATAGGGCTATACCGGAGTTAGTGTTCACACAGAAGAAACCGCTCACTGATATACTTATTACTGATCACCCTCTCCTTATAATGTTGAAACTATTCATCAGACATACGCACGCACGCACACACATATACATTACATATACGCACGCACGCACGCACACACATATACACGCGCACGCACGCACGCACGCACGCACGCACGCACGCACGCACGCACATACACATATGCACACGAAAGCCCGCTCGCACGCACGCACATACACATATACACACGAAAGCACGCACGCACGCACACACATATACACGCAGTGACGCACGCACACATACACACGCACGCACGCGCACATAGACTCACATGCACATACCCACATATATGCACACACGCACGCACGCACGCACACACATATAAACGCACGCACCCATACACATATACACGCAGTGACGCACGCACACACACACACACATATACACGCACGCACCCATACACATATACACGCAGTGACGCACGCACACATACACACGCACGCACGCACACACGCGCACATATACACGCACGCACCCATACACATATACACGCAGTGACGCACGCACACATACACACGCACGCACGCACACACGCGCACATATACACGCACGCACCCATACACATATACACGCAGTGACGCATGCACACATACACACGCACGCACGCACACACGCGCACATAGACTCACATGCACATACCCACATATATGCACACACGCACGCACGCACGCACGCACATACATATAAACGCACGCACCCATACACATATACACGCAGTGACGCACGCACACATACACACGCACGCACGCACGCGCACATAGACTCGCATGCACATACCCACATATATGCACATACCCACCTATATGCACACACGCACATATATGCACCCACGCACATATATGCACACACGTACATATATGCACACACGCACATATATGCACCCACGCACATATATGCACACACGCACATATATGCACACACGTACATATATGCACACACGCACATATATGCACACACGCACATATATGCACACACGTACATATATGCACACACGCACATATATGCACATACCCACATATATGCACACACGTACATATATGCACACACGCACATATATGCACATACCNGCACACACGCACATATATGCACACACGCACATATATGCACACACACACATATATGCACACACGCACATATATGCACACACACACATATATGCACACACGCACATATATGCACACACGTACGTACACACTTACTCCCTGCAGGTGATGCATAAAGTGCACATAAGCATATAAGCGAATGTATAAGAACATGGCTCTTCACTCGACGTTGTAAGAATAAAGTAGTTTGTCTACAAATAAAACTTGTAGTAGCCCGTTAACGTTGGGTACGTTTTTGTAATTTTTATCTTCGATTTTACACGATGTTGTAAAAATAAAATAATTTGTGTTTATCTATAGTATATAATATATATCTATAGTAAATAATATAGACGAACACAAACTACTTTATTTTTACAACATCGCGTGAAATTGAAGATAAAAAAATATATTCTATATGAATGAATTCCTCGACTTTCTGCTTTCCATTCGTTCTCGCAAACTGCGTGAAAACCAACTGCGTAAATTCTTAGTCACATTTACTGATGCTGACATAACCATTGATAACCATTGATAAATAACACACTTCACTAGTGTACGAATGCACTAATGTACTAATCTAAAGATGACGTAACACTTCAGTAATGTACAATAACATTTACAATGGCATTCCTATAATAGTAGCTCCGATCCATGAGTCAAATCTGATTGTAAGCAATTGAATAGTCAGCCAGCCTCACATTACTGCTGCAGCAAAAACACACACACACACGCACGCACGCACGCACACACACGCACGCACGACACGCACGCACACACACGCACGCACGCACGCACG